TATACATTTATATTCATATTTGTACATAGTCGTTAAATATTTATGCTTAACCTTGTTCTGCTTTGTTGTCCTTTTTTTGTTTATTTGTCTATTTCTGTACGTTGAGAGCAAATTGAATGGAAAACAAGTCAAATTCCTTGTATGTGTGAGCATACATAGCAAATAAAGCTGATTCTGATCTGGTGGTTCGACTAAGAGACAAAGTGATTTAAAGTTTAAGTTTGGATCTGTTTTAGGATCAGCTCGGGATTGTTTTCAAGTGTCTAAAACTGACCTTCTGCAACTCAAAGATTTTTCTGACTCGTTCAATGGCGTCATCAATCTCATTGGCAGGTGGGAGGACCTGAGTGCTTCTGGCGCCCAATGAGAAGCCTCCGTACCTGGAGAGAGAAAAACCTGATTCCACATCTAAAGACAGAGATGAGCATGGAAGCAGGAGTTCAAAGACACTGACCTGAACTCGTTCACCCACACTTTGTTATTCAGGCTGTGGAAACAGACAGAAACCATGAGTTCATGCTCCAGGTCGTTTCCAGTTACGCTTTTTTTTCTTCTTTCGACCACAGACTCACCTCTTGCCAATGATCTGCGCGTACGTTTTCACCAGGTAGTCGGAGATGTTTCGTCCCGTCAGGTTCTGCAGCGTGTCGGTGGCACTCAACTTCATCTGATCAACAAGAGTCACATTTAAATCTTTGACATGGGAAGAAATGACCGTTGTGTCACTGTAACGCCACAACCTCTGACCTCAGGTGGGGGCAGACCTCCAGCTCCTGCGGGACAATCGGGAAGCATCTTCTTTCTGCCGTCAGAGCTACAGAAACATGCCGGAGACGGATCCTCCATGCTCCAGTTCCTGGAGCTGAACAGCTGCTGGAGACTCTCAGGGACATCGGGGGTGTGCCACTCCTCATCACCCATGGTACATGGTGCTTCTCTAAAGATGGGGAGAGCATTAATAGATGGAAATGAAATGTCTGTCTCTGATAGTCTAATGACATCAGTACATGTCTTACTGGATTGGATGTCCATCCATGCAGCGAGTCCCGAAGCCTGGAGCGTCCAGCAGAGCGTTTAATAAGCCCTGCATGCTGGCATCTCTGGGAGCATCGTCACTGAGACACAGACAGAGGGGGACAGTCACATCTCGAGCGACATTACTCACTTCATCTGTGTCTTGGGACAGTATGTGGGACATTGTGTGGTACAGTGCATGGGACAGTACGTGGGACAGTGTCTACCTGATGAAGGTGACCTGGTCCTCATACATCCAGGGCTGCAACTCCAAACTGGGATATTTTCCAAACGGAGGGACAATGAGACTGAAGACAAGAGCGATGCACACGAAGACAGCGGGGAGAACGATCTGAAAAACAAACTTGTTAAAAACGTGCCGGACGTGTTCCGTTAATGAGAGGTGAGGTCACGTCAGCGTACCTGCGCGAAGAAGCCTTTCCTGGATCGTCGAGCGTACAGGAATCGTTTCCACAACAGAGCTATAAACTGCTGCCTCTTCAGGCTCCACCCCCTCACCTGATACGAGCCTTTACCGTCAGAACCGCTCAACCAGTCCGTCTCCCTGCTCTCTGATTGGACAACACACAGATGATGTCATTCAACTTCCTATTAGAACCTGAATTTACAGACGTAACTGAGACACATCACCTGTGTTTTGTCTTCACCAATCAGAGCAGTGCAGGTGTTCCCCAAATATTTCATTCACAAGACTATGACTGACCTTTGACCCCTGAGATCTAATCTGTGTGTGTGTTGTGTACCAGGGTCTCCATCGGAGTCGTTGCTGTCGTCCTCCATTAACGGTCTCAGGCAGCTCTGGTGGTCTCCTCCTCCGAAGGCGTGTGTCCTCCTTCTCCTCCTCTGAACAGGAAGTGTTCCGTCTGCACGCATGTGCACACACATACAGCAGTGTTAGGAAAGACAGATGAGTGACTGATGATTAAAAACTTTTATTTTGAAAGAACAGGTCCAAGGTCACCTGATGGTACTTCAGTGTCCACTCCGTTATCTTCGGCCACTTTCAGGAAAATCTACAAAACAGAAAGACTATGTTCAGCTCAGAAAGTAATTTCTTCTTCTGCCAGATAAAAACGGTAGCTGTCTCACCTCCTCCAGTGTCGTGTCGGAGATGCCATAGCTGGAGATGCTGAGGTCGGCCAGCTTCACGTCCAGGTTTTTGAACAGCTCCACGAAAGCTCCGTCCTTGGCTGCGTTGTACGGCAGGACGTAGGTCAACTCGTGTCCCAGGTCCTCTACAAGGCGGGCGGCTGGGACATGACGCAGGATCAGACTCGAGACCAGAGACACATCCGGGGGGACAAAGGGGACATCACAGATAGATGCCGCTGGGCCGTTATCTGAGGACAGACAGAAGACATGGATCAGATCCACCTGAAGGTGATTGAATCAATTGCTCCACAGGAACAGAGCGCTCACCGATGGTCGCAGCCTCACTTTCATTCTCGCTGCCGAGTCCTGCATCACTGCTGCTGACGGACGCACACTCCTCCTGCAATGCACAACACAAGACATGAAGTGCTGCAGTCCTGACAACACAGTACTGATACTGCGGTCCTGAAAATGGACTGTGAGCGTCTCAGACCTTCTTGGTGAGGGACACTGTGCTGGACGAGTTCCTGCAGGAGCTCAGCGATGGTTCTGGTTCTTTCTTGACTAGCGTCAGGTAATAGCCCGTCCCCAGCTGGTTCTTAAGGTACAGAGATGAGCCCACGCAGCACAGCTTCCCGTGGGAGATGATGGCAATTCTGTCACCCAGGATGTCGGCCTCGTCCATGTGGTGTGTGGACAGGATGATGGTGCGTCCTGGCAGGAGACACATGGTTCAGATAAATCAGCTTCAGCATAAAAACAAAAACCATCCGATTCCAACCAACCAATCAGAATCTCACCCTGTCTGTACTTCAGCAGGAGATCCCAAATCCCTCTGCGGGCATAGGGGTCAACGCCGGCTGTAGGTTCATCAAGGATCACGACCTTCGACCCTCCAACAAAGGCCAGAGCCACAGACAGTTTCCTCTGCATGCCTCCGGACAGCGTGCTGGTTCTGGAGGTGCGTTTGTGAGGCAGCCCAGTGTCCTGCAGGATCTGCTCGATCTCACCTTTCACCTGCTGCTCTGACAGGCCTTTGAGCCTGGAATAGAACCAGATGTGCTCCTCCACTGTCAGCCTGCAGGGGGCGCCACACAAACATGGTCACATGATAAATGGGATGATCTACTGTAGTTGTTTTCAGATCTGAACTGAACCACAGACATAATGCTGACATGTTCCTGAAATGTTGTTGATATGTTCTGGAGGTTTTGTATGTTCAGTGACATCAGTTTGTCAGATGTTTGTCTGTGTTGTGTGAAGATGCTGACACTCACATACTGAAGAGGACATTGTGTTGTGGACAAACACCAAGACTTTGTCTGATGGCGCTCAGCTCCGACCTGATGTCTCTGCCCAGGATGTAAGCCGTACCAGAGGTGGGAGGGAACAGACCAGTCAGGATGGACCTGCAGGGACCAGATAAGAGATGATTTACATCCAACACCTGCGCCTGAGCCTCAGACTCACCTGTACACAACATCCACTCAGATTTTTCTGGTCCATGTCTGCTAACATAGAGGTTTTATTACCTAACTACTTTTATATTGACAGTTCATGACTCACATGGTGGTAGTTTTTCCTGCTCCGTTGTGTCCCAGGAAGGAGGTGATTTGTCCCTCGTAGAAGCCGAGCGTCAGTCCGTCCACCGCCAGTTTCTTACCATGACGATAAACCTTCACCAGGTTCTCAATGTAGACACCTGGCTCAAGGTGAGCAGGCTCCTCCTCCATACACACGACTGGAATAACATTCACCATTCATCATGTCTCACAGGTTTTCAATACTTTCATGTCTGACAGTTTCTCCCTGAAGTTCTGTAGCACCACATGGTGGTCACTGTGTTACAGCAGTCTCACCTCCGGGGTTTCCTTTCCGGCTCAGAGGGACATTGGACGTTCCGTCCTTTTCTCCCAACCAGTAGGACTTGGTGAAGGGGAAGTACCAGGGCCGAGGGATCCCGTACTGACCTGTCGAGATCCCGCCGAAACACCAATACAATTCATGATCACAGATTTAAACACGTTATCTTCTTCTGTGGAAGTATTTACAATGTGTACTGCCACCTACTGACCACAGAACTACTGGAACATACAGGAACATCATTATCATTGTCATCATAACTACAGACTTATAAAATATAATTAACTTTATTATTACATGTTTAACAAACGAGCAGAATCGAATCGATCTGTGATGTCAACACTCACCTGGAAACACGGCCTCAATGTACCAGGTGAGGACTCCGTATAAAAAGGAGTCAAAGTACATGATGATGATGGCGGTGCGCAGGCTGAAGTCGTCCTCCTTCAAAGGACTCGACACCAAGTTCTTCCACTGGATCCCGACTCCCTGCTCCTCAAACAGAGCAAAGTACTCACAGCCAAACCCGAAAGCCACCGGTGACAGGAGGCTCTGCAGGGGAGGAGGTCACGTGACTCACTGTCCAACCATGACACAGCAACGACAAACTTCTTTAAGGTTGACAAACTTACAGCAAAGACTTTGGCTCCAAAGCCGATATAATCCTGCCATGCAACACACAGGACGTAGGGTAGGTACAGGGTGAAGTAGATGATTCCTCCGCAGGCCGCCGCCAGGTTAGCTCGTGCGAAGGCCGTGCTGATGAGGAAACACTGCATGATGGTCACCACAGCAAAGGATCCAAGGAAAAGGAAGACCACGCCAGGGTCACTGTAGGGCAGCAGGTTTCCCTTCTGCAGCAGAAAGAACCAAGTCCGTCACATAAGATAAGAACAGAATCAATTTTATATCAACAAGTGGCGAGGACTCCCTGACGTGTTCGTGGTTGTCACCTTGAGCAGTAGCACCAACAGTCCAGCGCTGATCAGCAGAGGAATCAGGCTGCTGATGAACCAGCTTAACCACAGGATCCCGTTATTCAATCCCATGATCCTCATGGTCTCCTTCAGCCTTGCCTCCTTCTCATACACCACGCTCTTCAGAATGATCGCCACTGAGTACATCCACGCCAGTGTCATGAAGAGTGGCATGGAACGACTCATCACCCGTAGGAAACTGAACACAGAACATGAGGACAGGTTAGAAACAAAGGACATGAGGAAGACTCATCTAAAAACCAGAACAGGGGAAACATGTTCATACATGTCGTCGACGTAGCAGGGATACGGCATCTGCTGGATATAAACGCCCATCTTTTCCTTGGTGCCTGTCACTGCTCGAATGATGCCTTGCTCAATAACGTCCTGCAGATACGAGAACCCTCCCCAGATGTACCGCATGTCCTCAAACGGGTCCGCACGTGGACCTGGGTCCCAGTACCTGAAAGAGGAGGAAAAGACAAAGTCCTGTTGGCTTAGATATCATACAAAATATTTTGGACTCAGCAAATGTTGTAGTGTAAGGATTTTTCCACTCATGAATCTTCAGTTCAACATGACATCGTCACGTCTCGTTTTTCACCAAACCCACAGAGGGGAGGAACCACAACCTTTAATCTATTCACATTTTTCTTAAAATAAACATTTTATCATAAAAGTTTACAATTAAAAAATACATAAAACAAAAACATTTGCTTCAAAATGTCAAGCTCTTATTTTAAAAAAGATCATTAAACTCACTTGTCAGACCCCGCCCATGTTTTTGTTCATGATATTTGAGTGAGTGTGTGTGTGTGTGTGTGTGTGTGTGTGTGTGTGTGTGTGTGTGTGTGTGTGTGTGT